CTTTTCTTTTCTCACTGTTTTCATAGAATGGCCAGCCCCCTGCTATGCATAAATCTTTTGCTCATGACCTGAGATTAAGAGTCTCATGCTCTACTGACTGACCTATGGGAAGGGATGAAGAATAGAGGAAACATGGATGCATGAGCTGTTGAAAAGGTTTAGTTGGGCAACTGCACCACAATCTTACTTCAACTTAAATTGTATTTGTGGTTGTTGAACCAGCTGCCGTGCATCCAGACAGCAAGAACAAGCTAGCCATGTGCTCATATCCTGATATGCCTTTAAGGTCATGTTTACTCACTGAACCGAGGCAAAAAGAAAAAGTCCAGCAAGCTTTCAGTAGATGGTAATCATTCACATCATTCTTGGTGAAGAGTTACTGCTGAACTGTTGTGAAGGAGATTGAAAAGTGTGTGTTTTTCCTCATAGATTAGGTACATTTGTCTTCTCCGGCAATCTCTCGTAGCAGAGTAAGATTGTCTTCCATAAACACGGTTTTAACAATGAGTCCGTAGGTGACTGTGGAGGCCAATTCTGGATCCACACGTCCTTCCACAGTGGGGACATTGGTTACCGGGCGGGAGTTGATCCACGGTGTGGATTTGCCAAGCGTGCCTTCCTCTTAGCATGTTTCTCTCTTGCGTCCTGAGTTTGAGTGTCTTCAAAGCCCATGACACCTTTGGTAAAGGCTGTTCTCCAATTGGAGTGCTTGCAGAGCAGTATTTCCCAGTTGTCAGTGTTTATAGTACATTTTTTTAGATTTGCCTTGAGAGAGTCTTTAAACCTCTTTTGTTGACCACCAGCATTATGCTTTCCATTTTAAGTTCGGAATAGAGTAGTTGCTTTGGAAGACGATCATCAGGCATCCGCACAACATGACCAGTCCAACGAAACTGATGTTGAAGAATCATTGCTTCAACACTGGGTGATCTTTGCTTCATCCAGTACACTGATATTAGTTCACCTGTGCTTCCCAAGAGATGTCCCAACCGTCCTAAATATCTTCACAGAAGCTTACGAAAAGCTTGGTCTGTCGCTCAACATCCAAAAAACCAAAGTGCTGCACCAACAAGTGCAAAATAA